TTTTCCTTAAGAGTATTTATATGTACTTTGCTTCTATAAGCTCAGCTCCGATTTTTCCTATATTTGTTAATTTTTACATGTTAATTTGCAAGTTTATTTGCTTCTATATGTGATAATGGCTCCAAATTTATGATCTTGTACCTACTAATCAATTTTCTGAAACTTTTTTCTCAAAGAAAAAGGGGGGTGGGGTGGGGGGTTGGGGGAGGAAGAAAAGAGGCAAAAAGCACTAGCTGATTTTTTCCCATCTGCCCTCATGTCTTGGTGGGCAGCGTCAACCGATACCTGTTTTGGTGGGAGGCAGCGGGTATCCGGTATTTAATAGTCGAGGTGTGATTGTGAGTTTTCAATTATCACTATGAAATTAACCTTTTATTTCTTTTTTTTATATCGATGGTGTTTGGACCAACTTGCGTGAACCTCGACTAATCCGTGGGGTTGCTATCCAGCACAGAGCACACAAGTACATGTTTTGTCTAGTGTTGCAGCTGAGATCGAACTTGGGATCTGCAGGTTGTTAATCACATGCCGCAACCACTAGGCCATCCCCTATGAGATTCATGATAAAACTCAATTTTCGAGCCATTCTGATTATTCAAACAATAAATTTTAATTTCTAGTATAACTTTTTTGTTAAGTTGCCTTATCTCAGTTAGTCTCCAATACAGCCCTTTAGTTGATATTAGTTCGTTAGAGAACGTATAGTTAATCTATAATGACTAGTTATTTCTCATGATTATTAACGAATAGAGCATTAAAAGACTAGTTATTTATTGCCAGAGTGAAAATGCGCCCAAATGAAGCGGAATGGTTACGGATCATTCATTTAGTGGGCCCTGACTAGTTTAGAGGCGTGGTATGTTGATTGATTGATTATTAGCGAGAGCTAAATCCCCTTGATGGCGTTTGAAGAGAAATTGTGAGAGCTAAGGGATCACTATGATATGTAAGCCTCTGTAGAGTAGTAGATTGTGTAAGCGGATATTGGAGACAACCCAAGAATGAGCTTATGTATAATGCACGTATAGAATCTAAGTTCTGTTATCCCCTTTGATGTCTTTGTTCGTTAATGGTGTGCACATAAATTTGCAGGAAATGTCATTCTTAAAGGATATTCTCATTGGTTCTGAAGCTCATTTTGTGGTGCTAATTGTACAGAGCTCATCAATATTTTCAGGTGTGGAGTTGAAATTTGCAACATATGGTTTCATGCATTCTAGCCTTTGGTGACTCAGATTGAAATATTCTTTGTATTTCGACGAGAAGTTTGTTTGACTTATTGGTGTGAAATGGCAGAACTTTTTGGATATACAGCATGCAGACAATTATCGCAAATGTTGATTTCAATATTATTCTTCCATGTTTCCGAGTACATTCTGGCACTTTTCATTCATGGGAAGTCAAGCGTAACTCTTAAGTCGCTTTTGATAAGCAAACATTATCTAGTGGCAATGGTTTGCTCCTTGATAGAGTACCTTATTGAACTCTATTTCTTTCCTGGCTTAAAGGAATATTGGTGGATAAGTAATTTCGGCCTTGCATTGGTTGTTCTTGGAGAAATCATAAGGAAGCTGGCAATTGTGACTGCAGGCGTAGCCTTCACTCATCTAATAAAGGTTTATCACGAAGAAAATCATCAGTTGGTTACACATGGGATCTATAGATATGTCCGGCATCCTGGTTATAATGGTTTCTTCATCTGGTCTATCGGTACTCAAATAATGCTTTGTAATCCAATATCAACCATTGCATTTGCAGTTGTTGTGTGGAAATTCTTCTCGGGGAGGATACCTTATGAGGAATTCTTCCTAAAGCAGTTTTTTGGTTCTGACTACGAGGATTATATGAGAAAAGTTCCTTCTGGTATTCCATTTGTGAGGTGATTATTCAACAAAACATCTTGAGGCCACTATATATATGCCCAGCATCCTTGTTTATTGTGGTTTCCTCTTCTGATCGTCGGTGCTCAGATAATCTTCTAAATTCAATACCAACTGCGGCTTCTTAGGGTGTAGTCTAGGAATTTTACTCTCTTAGACACTCTTACGGTTCTCATAATGTGAAGTTTGCCGGAGAAATCCTCTTTGATACCACTTTCGAAGTGATGCTTCTGTTAACCTTTGTGGAGTGCTTTATCTTATTTGGATCATCATGTTTTCATTGTATCGTGTTATTGTTAGGTAGCTAGGTGTTCCTAACCTTTACTCAATATGTTGTTCTTGGTCTTTGATATAATTGACAGGAGGCTTATAGAGAAGTTATGATCCAACGCGTGAGATAACTTTGCTAGTTCTTATGGGGAGCTGTAAGTTATCTATATTATGTATTTGGCATGGCTGATGGTTGCAGCTTTTTATCATACTGTTAAGGAGAAAGGTCTTGTAACATTTTCTTTGATTTGACCATTTCACCTCATCTCAATTATGGTTGATTTCTTTCTGTTGCCTTTTATTCAAGCCTTCCTTTGGCCATATTTTAACGCCCCACCCCAAACCCCAAATGATTTGTTTGGCTTTATGAGGAACAGTTGGTCTATCTTTGAGTGAGTTTTGGTTAATTGTTAGTTTATGCGACACTAGTAGATTTTCAGAAACATGGGCCATATTCAATCTTCAATCTACTAAAAAAATTGTAGTTATTGTTTCTTTAGAAGTTTGGCCAGGAAGAATAGCACCGGGTGTTTGCAACACATTTATACGCTCGTTTCAGGGAAGGAAGGACATGCACCAAAAACATATAATTATGAGAAAAATAGTAAGTACATAAATATAAGTTTTATCGACTGTCAAATACTGCCCAGGGACCTTTTTATCTGTTGCTTTAGTTATTATTAAAAAGAAGGCCCAAAACATGTCACTTTAGAACAAAGGCGTTGTTTATTTTATTTTGGAAATTTTACCAAACCTTTACACATTATTTATTATAAATAAATACCTTTTTAAAAAATTATTTTCTATAGCTACCTTTTAGGTTTTATAGCAAATTATGTATTTATGGTCACTTCTTACCGTTAAGCCATTAAATACGCTGTGTAATATTTTTCTCTCCTACTTTCTATTCTTTTTCTCACAATAACACCGTATAGTATACAACTTTGCAAAACCACGATCTCTCTCCACTATCTCTCTCCCAACCCAGTGTCTTCCCCACGAATACAACCACCATTATCAACTGATTTATCTCCATTCTCTCTCTCAATTTTCAAAATTGATTGCTCCAAAAAGTTGTGGTAAGTGTTAAACTTGTTAGATTTTCGCTGGCACTTGTATTCTTCTGTATCTCTTTACTATTGTTTTTTAGAAATAATCACCATTGTTATGCTTTCACCAGAAAACTCGAAATTTCTTCTCCAATGGCTGATTCAACTCCTTACAAGAGGGTTACTCGAGGTATACCAACCAAAGCACTCAATTTCGAAGGGCCATCTTTCGATTTGCAAATCACTCAAGCGGAACATGTATTTGCAGGTTCAGCAGCAAATACAGTTGCGGAAAAGAGAACGAAAATACGCAATGACACATCGAAACAAGCCTAATTTCAGAAATGTTCGAAAGAATCAACACTTCATGATGCGGTAAAGAGAAAAAAACTTATGGATGACGATTCAGGGGTTAAGGGAAAAGAGGTCGATACAGGAATCAACTCGGAAACACTAAGCGAAAAGGTAACCATAGATGTATTTATATATATTTTAGTTTGCATACAGTGATTATTACCATATACACTGTTTTTCTCTTCTTTGTATTTTGATATATTTATATGTATTCAATAGTGCCAACATTGATTAATACTTATTACAGTGACTTTCACTGTTGTATTTAGATGTATATTGTTCCAGCTTTAGTGATGTATTCCAATTAAGTGTTCTCATCATCCTTGTCAAGCCAACTGTATTCTGCTGTATTTAGAACAACAGTCATTGTCATATCTCTCATTTTTTGTAGTAATTATCAATACATTATGTTTGTAAATCATGAATGAGTTATGCATTCCAAATATATGTATTCATCTATATTTTCAATCATTTATTTTATCTTTTAAATTTTTGTTGTATGCAAGAAATGAAACTCTTTGTTAAACACCCGCCTATTGTATCAACACATATCAGTTCCTACACTAACACAGACATAGTCTCCGACCTCAAAGAGAAGCTTACGCCAGAGCAGTACAAATTATTTTGTAATACTTGTTTTGGAAGTTTCCTCGATATGAAGCACTATGAGGTTCAACATCAATTGTTCAGGTGCTTCATGGTTCTGCAACTGGAAGAAAGCCATGATGATTCATTTTCAATATATGTGAATGGTACAAAATTATGCTTCTCAATCAGGGAGTTTGCGGTAGTTACTTGTCTCAATTGTGTTAGTGACGTTGAAGATTTTCAGTTTAACACAAAGAAGCCTAACAGGATTGTGGATACATACTTTGGCAGTGCAAAGAATGTCAAGAAGAAAGATTTAGTGAAGTGCTTTGATGACAAGAATTGGGTTATGATAAAGATGGGGATGCTATTAAGATAGCTTTGTTGTATTTCATACATACTTTCATATTATCCTCCGAGAAGAACTGCACAACCATCCCAATACTATATTTTGACTTGGTCGAGAGCGGGAGATATTCTGATTATCCATGGGGTAAGGATGCATTCCAGGCCCTTATCAGATTTATTAGCAAGAAGATAGATTCTCAGAAGAAGTACTACCGGATGGCTGGGATGCCTCTTGCTATGCAAGTATGGTTTTATGAGTGTTGTTCAAAGGTTGACCCCAAAATTGCACTTCGAGTTAATAACCGGATGCCCAGAATACTCAATTAGAAATCTACAATCAACCAGCCAACTTATGCTTACTTGATGAACATCATGTTCAACTATCAAGGAAACGTGGTAAGTTGCTATTATTTAATTGACTGGTATTTTAGTCAACATATATTTCTATTAGTAAAAACAGTTTTGGAATTTTTAATCAAATACAGTTGCATATATCATTCATCAATGCCCCTGTTTTCATAATTAAATCGAATACAGTAGAATACATAATACAGTGTTGAAACTAAAAATTAAATACAGTTGTATTCATAATACATCTATGTCCCTGTTTTCATTTGTAAACTGAATAGTTGAATACATAACACGGTATTGAAATTAAAAATTAAATACAACTGCATACATCATACAACAATGTCACTGTTTTCCTGTTTTCCTGTAATACATTAGAATATAATACAGTTTACAGCTACACATTTCATTCAATGCCATTAATTTGATTTACAATACAACTCAATATATGTATAAAGAAAATTGGCCTTTTACATAAAGCATATTACATTAGTAATCATACAACAAGTGTGATTTACATTGAGTGTGTTACTGTTTTTAGATGAAATATAGCAACATTCAACCAAACGCTACAAAGTTTGCTGTTATTCAGGTTCCTCCGGATGGCGTTGATGTAGAGAAAAGTCTTATTCCTTCAGACAACAATGATGATGATTCTGATGACTTTAGTCCAACACCGCCTCTTCAGCCTAAGAAGAAACATGATGCAAGCATTGGTCCATCTTCATCACCGCACCACAAAAAGTGCAAACAATAGTTAAGTGATCCCTCAATTGCAGATAGTCCAATCCCACATGTGCTTGCAATACCTCAAACCAAGTTTTCTCCTACTGATAAGATTGAATTCAAGAAAATTATATTGAGTTCTAAGAAGCCGGCAGATTCTAAATCTGATAATTTGTATGCTTTAAGGCAGGATCTAAACTCATTCAAGGATTATGTAAGTATTGTTAAAACATATTCAACTTTACCGTTTATGTATTAACTTTCATATATGTTTCTAACCCATCTATAATTGTTTTTGTATTTATTAGGTGATGGGTGAGTTCACTTCTCTACGAACATTGATCAACGAAAATTTTAAAAAGCTTTTTGAAAATGCAAAAGCCAATCAGAATACAGAAAGGGTTTACTAAAGAAAAAATATACTGGGAGATATGATGGTGGTATTCAAATGTCAACCGATTCCAACTTGCATAATACTTTCAAATGCCAAACACAACATGATATACCTGTTGGGGATAATTCAGAGGTTAACATTTTTTAACCTTTCTAGTATATATGCAAGTTTGTATATGTTTTATGTAAATATAATCTGAATACACTTATATACATGTGAATACAGTATTATATGTATATCAATACATGTTACATAATACACTTATATACATGTGCATACAGTATTAAATGTGTTTTCATGATTTACTAAATACATTTTGCAAAACAACATTCATAATTCTTCAGTTTAATTATGTATGCAACAACATACATGATTCATAATACAGTTATATACATATAAACACAATGTTATATCTGTATTCATGTTGTGAATAGATATATATTGTAAAAACAAACTTTACTATTATTCATTTTATTCAAGTATACATCAAAATACATTATTCAGAATACAATCATATACATGAAAATACATTAATAGAATACAAGTCTATACGCCTACTATGAAATTATGAAAAATTCTTTGTTTTTTACTAATCTGACAAATACAATTCTGTAAAATATGTGCTATATTAATATATTCTATTGGGTATTATAAGGTTATGGAAAGGAAGCTGAACACCGACATTCTTGCCGATGAAGCCCCACAAGCTAATGAGGTAAATCCTGTATGTGGTGACACATTAGATGCATCTACTGAGGTTAATCTTGTATGTGGTGAAGTAAGAAAGGAAGGGCCTACTCCATCGGAGGTGTCGTTTGTCATACTACCTGAAACCGACGAGGATGTATCTAGAGAAATACATGTATCACAATTTGAGCTGGCGGATGAGTACCTTCCAAGTCAAATTTCAGACACTAGAATTGTGATACATCAAGCAGCAAAAGTTGTTGATTCAACTCCTTTACCCTCTCATAGGACTCGACGTCCAAGTCGATGATATTCTTCATCGTATGAGTCAAACTTCGACTCGGCCGGTTAGTAAATACATATACAAAAACTATGTTTTATATAGTGTTGATATATTTTCTCATGATAACTATAATTAAATGTAGCTATTAATGATGACGATAAACTACAGGTACCTCAGTAAAGTTGACTGCCATATTTGACAAGAAACACCCCTTTGAAGATGATTTAATATCGGGGCCACATCATACGTTAGTCATTCAAGAATTTGAGAAATGGGTTCATGATGATCTTCTGGCTAAACACGATCAAAAGTGAGTTACTTTTATCGATCTACAATGTATGGGTTTTATTAATTATTATATGAATATAATGTTATTTTCCAAATCCTTGTAGAAAGGATAAAGAAGACTATTACAAGAAACACAAGTCAACACTACATATACCGTTGGATTTTGGAGTCCATGAAATCATTTCAAAAAATTGGTTTTATCTTCTCTCATTTGACGATCAACTATGGAATGACGA